AAAAAAAAAAAAAAAAAAAAAAAAAAAAAAAAAAAAAAAACTTTAATAAAAGAATAGTTTATAAAATAATTTTAAAAAATAATAAATAATTTAACTGAATCTCAAGCACTTCAAATTTAGGAAATGTGGGTATTAAGTCTGTTTTCAATTGTCATTAAAACATCCTTTTTGCAATTGCAAGGGCAGTGACAGCTCGAATTTACATGCTCATGCTACTTTTTCCATAGAACCCAAGTTCTATATAGTACAGAGAAAAAACAGCTGTAACCAGTTTTTCTTCCCTTGCTTAGCACTTACTGTGCAGCCTGTATTTCCAAAGTAGAACCATACTCTCCCAGGTAGCAATGACCTGCCTCTGCCATAAAACCATTCCTTCTTTTTCTACAGTAAGGCATTCTGACTGCCTGGGGGGAAGGAGAAGGCTGCAAGCAACACCAGCAACCTTAACTGCACACAGTAGTTTTGAGCTTTTCACCTTTGCGTTACTCTTTTCAAGCAATAGAGGGGCCTTTTGCTGTTTTAACAAAGTGAAACAAAACACTGTTTCCACATGTAGCATTATTTAAAGTTCCATGGTTCAGATCCACTAACCTGAACTACACATTTAACTTCTAGTTCTCCATCCTCAGTGAGGACTAATAGTGAAAAGAAATAACATGCTTTCCAGTGGGCTTTAGAGACTTCTATTCACAGCAAAGAACTCAGTGTGAAGAATACTGGGTTCCAGGCCAGATCAATGTGAACCTACAGGCAGGAACCTTCTGTGCCTTTCCTGCAAAAATGACTCCTTTTGCATCATTTCTTTTAACGCGTTCTGTTACTGGCCTGATCCCAACTCCATCTTCTGTTCCCTTCTTACCTCATTTTATTCACATCATCATTTGTACTAACTCACTCAAATTCCAAATTTCTTCTTTACGTTTATTTTTAATGCAGTCTCATTCCCCTTGCAGGTCACTCAGTAACATCCTCTTTTATGTCAGTGTCAACACAGTGCCTGCAGTCGTCTTCAGTCATGTTCAGGTCTCCCAGTATTCCAAAACTGTGTATGGACAACACACTTTTACTTTTAAAAACTGTTAAGAAATCTGTATTTTTAAGAAGCCGAGGAAAAATATTTTGAGTGATGAGAAGGTGGGGTAACATTTAGAAGTTAGGTTAGAGTGAGAAAAATCAAGCAAATGACGTACTGAAAGAAACAAGGAACTCTTTCAGCTCACCCTCTTGTGAACGCCTGGTTCTAGTCATACTGTTCACTCATATTCATCAGACACAGTAATGACTGATTTTTATCTCAAACAAATCGAGGTGACCTGAAGGCATGATTGGAATAACTGTGGACTAATTCTTCTCCTCTGTTTTTAAACTGTAACAAATTTATATTCTGCCGATCATCACCATTCATTTGAATACCAGTTCTGGCATTGCTACAAACCCTGGGGCATCAGAATTATTTCCAGGAATTTCCTTACTTAACACCCTCATAATAGAACTCTGCATGGTGTAACATAACTTCAGTTCAAAACTAGTGTTGGCTGGAAATAAACTAATAAAACTGGATGCGAGTATTAAAATGTAGAATCTGTTCTTAATGACAGAGTTTAACTCAAGTTTAATGAGGATACTTAACACATTTTAATTTGGAGTGTTTTGTACTCCTCAACCTTAATTTGCAGTCATGGAACATCACTGCAGACAAAGAAATGTCAGCCTAATGAAACATCTTTCGAGATCGGGATTGGAATGCTTTGATAAAAGAGCATAATAATCTTCCTAAGACAGAGGAAAAATGAGAATGCTGCTGTTCTTTTAGGTGGAAGGACTTCCCCAACACAAGAGGATAAATATCTGAAAACCAGGGGCCACTTTGCAAACTTTAAAACTGACGTGTACTTAATTAATTTGTAGTAAAATACAGTAGTACTCACAAATTTTTAATAAAAGTAGAACTAAGAATTTTAATATTAAATCTTTCCCTTTTAGGAACGTGAAGCACTTCTCCTCCTGTACTGATCTTGAATCATGTTACCAAATTTTATCACATACGATAACATTTACTTGGAATCATACTATTAGAAACTTACAACTCTGTGCTCAAAAACAATAAACATTACATCTGGAGATGATGGTACATCTGATATTCCATATTAAGGAAAAATCTAGCAGAATTTTAGATAACAAAACCACAGCTTGTATTTCAGACCTTGAGAGTATTCAAATTAATCTAATGCACAGAGGTCATGCCACATTTTTCAAAATATGACCCTCCTATCATGGTGTGAGAAGACCCTAATCCAGCAAATAATAGCGCTCCTAAGTGGAGCTACCCAATATCTTACACTGGACTGAAGTCAACACAACTATGTCAGCTGACCATAATTATTACCAAGTTAACTGTAGCGTTTGAAATCATAAAATCCTTTTTCAGAAATGGAAAAAGAAAGAAAATAAAAGGCAGAGTGATTTCTTAGTCTTCTCAAAAACGCAAGCACTGGATAAGTATCAAGCATCGTTTTGTTGTGTTTCCTTGTAGCTAGTTAGTAATATTGCCTCATTCTGCACACCAAGGGCAAGGATGGGAGCAATAGTCTGTAACTATACACCAAAAATAGCTTTGTTTGTTTTTTTAGGGGGAGTAGAATGATCCAAAAATGATTTTGTCTAACAAAACATGACACTGGCTTGGCAGGGCATTCAGTCAGTGATTTGTAGCTCTCCCTAATCTACAGTTTAGCATTAGCTGTTTCCATGCCCAAAACAGTGACTACATTTTACATTTATGAACTTCATTTTTCCCACATCACTGACTCCTCAGATAAAAAGGACAGCAAGTTCAGTGTCTGTTGAATCTTGCCTGAGGCAAGAGATGTGCTATAAACAGCTGATGCAGATAACTTATATTTCCTGCTCCTTTGCATCTGCATACTGAGGAATATGTTCCTTGAAAAGTAATACTGCTGATGCAAAATCTGCAGCTAAGGCTTTATCTGGGATGTCAGACTTTTGGTAAGCTCATTTTCTCCATCCCTTATCACAGGGACTTTTTAGTATATATTTTACTTTAAATAATGTAATGCAATTTGTTCAGCAGTTACGGTGGAGAAGTTTTGGAAGCATTGTAAAGTTTTAACAAAGGGATCACTATGAGCACTGAAAGAAGATGCAATTATATAGTGCAGTACAATCTTCCACCCTTGTACCCACCCCAGGAAACAAAAACCCTGCAAGAATATCACCTACTGATATCATCACTCACTGATATCAACCTCTTACGCACAGCTCAAGATGAGAAGTCCCATTCTGTACAAAGGGATTTTAGGGAGTCTTCTGAGAGAAGTTTTATCCTCCTTACACAAAAATTGCAAAATGCAGCTCAGAAACTGTACTGTCCCTACAGCCAATTTCTTTTCCTCAAACTTTTCCCCTAATTTTGGAAGGATTAATCATTGGAGAAGGTCATCCTTTTGATCGCTTCCACATCATTGCCTGTACCTTATTACATTCCCAATAAGAACTTCAGTCTTCCTAAGCAACAACAGCAGAAAACTGCAATTCATCTCCAATGTTTGTCACTGTCAAATTTTTTACAAATGAAGGGAATTTATTTTTTTTTTAATTTAAAGACCTGATCCAGTTATTGCAAATGCTGTTTACAATGTAGAAAAAATTCTACCTCCCTAAATAACTAAAATATGTTTTTGTCTCTCTCCAAATTATTTTCTCATGGATTATTGTAATTTCAATTCTAAGAATCACTGTAATTATCAAAGAAAACATTCATTCAACACTGTGGGTCAGCAATTACAGGGAAGCATTTCACCATGACTCAGAATTATCATTTGTCAGCAGAACTGTCAAGATTATCCAAAAAATAATGTTGATTAAAACGTGATTATGGTTAAGTGTGAGCACTAGAAGCTTACTAGTTTATCCATTCACAACTGAGCTTTATGTGAAGAACTTTTACATCCTGGCTTTCTAGCAATCCTTTATTTGCTAACGAAGTATTCATTTGAAGCTGATATTGCATTCTCACACAGAATGGGAAAGCCTCTGGGCTGACTACTCACATGACACAAACCAGCTCCCTGTATTAAAGCCTCTCTTCCTGGAAGCCTTCCAACACATGCAGAGGGAACCTGGTGAAGGTCTGTTTAAATATGACAGTTTACACTTCCCCAACACAAACAGAAGTCACAGAGTGAACCCTGATATTGCAGAAGCAAAAAGAGAGAAATACTGAACAAAGCTCAAGTATCAAAAAGAGAACATCTAGAATTTCCCCTTAACTACTCTAGATCACAATGGGATCATTTAAAGATCTGAACCTCTACCCTGTTCTATACTGCAGAATTTGGAAAATTTACCTCATTAACTTGCTTTTTGTCTAAGTGAAAAACTTGACCAGAGCTTGTTGAGGCAATTTCTTCATAGACTTTGTAACCAATATGATCCCTGTCATCACAGTCTCCAGTTAGCACAAATACTACCTGTATTAAAAAGAAAAAAACAAACAAAAAAACATCCAAGTCATTTGGGACGCAGTGCAAACTTTCACTTGAAAACATTTTAAAGCTAGCACAGAGGCCTGATAGCAGAAGTGCATCACTTGGCATGGGCTCTTATTACTTTGCAATGAAGTAAGGAACAAACAAGAATCGCTTTATAAGTGATACTCATTTATAAGCGATTCGACATCTCAGAAAACCTGTCTCAAAACAACATAAGAACATCCACGTAACTGACACACTGACCAAGCATATATACAAGCTTCATTTGGACTATTTAATCCACAGCATTAAAAATAAATGTTCCTTCAAGTTTTTATTAATCAAACATCTGTACTTAAAAAAAATAAAGTTCCTAGAATGACATTATTTTTACTGTAGAAATGGATTTCACTGATCCTCACATAGTGGAATTTTACCCTTCAGTACAGAGAAAACATGGCATTAAAGATGTAAATCAACTTAGGATGTAAATCTCTCATGTACCTGTGACTGCTTCTGTTGAATGAGCTGAAGTACTTCATGGGTGAGTCTATAGTCTTTGGATCGTGCATCAGTAAATACATAGATGAAAGAACCAGGAAGAGAGATTTCTAGAGCAATCTTAATTGCTCCAATGCTCATCTCTGGACAGTCTCCACCACCCTGTTTTCAAACAGAAGAAGGAAAAAACAAACTTTCAAAGGAAAAGAACGTACCAATTAAAGTATTTTCTCTTGAGAAAGTGTCTCTTTTGAACGTTTCATCTTCTTTTATTTACTCCTCTCCCCCCCACCTGTATGTTTTCTGTAAAGTGTCACAAACTCACACTTGAGCAACATCTAGAAAAATTACTCAGGGAAAGTGAAGTCAGAGGAGAAAATTGCTCTTGGACCTGAAAATGGCCAGTGTCATGGTCACTCTTGTCTCTCCTGGGAGAGATGTGTCAGTCAGTTCCAGCTCCTGTACCAGCCCCGTTTCTTTACTCACACGTTCCTTTCCTGTCTGACAATGCAATGGCTCCAGCAGCACACAGCAGTCACAAGACATCACAGCCACAGAGGGAAGTAACCTCAGCCATGCAGGACTGCTCTCCAGGAGGGTATTTGGCTGCCAGGATGGCAAGGACTTGCCCTGAACTTCCCACAGTGGGGCAGGCAGTATGAGGAGCTCAACAGAGGACACAGGTGATGTGCTTCCCAGTCACCCATGCTGACACACAGACAGCTGCACAGCTGCCAATTTTTCAGACCATTCATTTAGGGCTTCCAAGAATGACTTTATTTAACATTACAGAAACTGACAGAATTATTCTTTTTCATTTACATAAAAATCAATTTCACATATTGAAGACAGAACTTTCCAAATAGCTGAACACAAACTGTAAAACCCAGCCTTGTGAACAGCAACGGATCTCTGCATTTTTAAGATTACTATTAAAAGAAGTAACTTTTATATTTAATCAACATGCCTGCTAATCAGCATACCTTCACACATACTCCACAGGCTGGGAAGGAAGAAGAAAAAAAATAATGCAATTGTTGCATCTAATTTTTAGTACTTCAGGGCAATCAGAAACTGTTTTGAGGATAAACATCAGGGAAAAAAAGGCCCTGCCTCCCACAGTTCCTCAGTCCTCCAGAACTTCAGTTGATCCCAATCAAATATTTTAAATCAGTAACAACTTTTCAACTCTCTGTAATTTTGACCCAATTTCATAAAAAGAGTATCTTAAACTTCTAATCTATGTAAAAGAGAGTTACTTGCCTACTTCTGTATGTAGTCTTACTTTAATGGAAAAAATAAGTAGTAGACTCTGGAGTGCATGAAACTCAAAAGATAATTTTCCAAAATTTTTGTCATGTCTGAACTTCATCCTAGCAACGTCTGTACAATCCTAAGGGATAAAACAATATACACTAAATGATTCTGTACTCAGCACTGGTGAGGCTGCACCCAGAGTGCTGTGTTCAGTTTTGGACCCCTCACTACAAGAAAGACATTGAGGCCCTGTAGCACGTCCAGAGAAGGGCAAAGAAACTGGTGGGTGTCTGGAGCACAGGCCTTATGAGGAACAGCTGAGGGAATGGAGGCTGTTTAGTTTGGAGACTAGGAGGCTCAGGGAGACCTTACTGCTCTACAACTGCCTGAAAGGAGGTTGTGGCAAGTTGGAGGCCAGCCTCTTCTAGCAATAGTAGGAATGGCCTCAAGTTGTGCCAGGTTCAGGTTGGACACTAGGAAGAATTTCTTCTCTGAAAGAGAAAGTCGGGCACTTGAATGGGCTGCCCAGTGAGGTGGTGGAGTCACAGTCCCTGGAGTGCTCAAGAAATGTTTAGATGTTGTACTAAAGGACATGGTTTAGTGTGGAAATATTGGTGGTATGCAGATGGTTGGACTGGATGATCTTGGAGGTCTTTTCCAACCCTGGTGATTCTACGGTTCTAAGATTTTTTAACTTCTGCAGAGCAAATGTTATCTTCAGCAAAAGAATCTCCCAATTAAACCTGGGAAAAACCTGGCAAAGTCAAGATAATAGCTTATTTCTGCAACCATCTTCTAAATATAATATCTCTATTCCCACCTCTAGTTGAGGAAAAGGAATATTTTCTTGACTAGTTTGAATATAAAAAGAACAGGACTTAGTTTCTCTAGAGAGATGCACACAGACTAGTCTTAAACTGTTGTCAAATACTAACCGAAAGACTCTGTCAAATGCTGTCCAAACATTCCAACTGTTCTGTACTCAGAATATTTTTGTTGCAAGGATCTGCATTTTCCTGGTGCTCAAGAAGAAGTTTTGGAGTTTTGGCCTATTTCTATCTAAGATACGTAAGACTCCTTTAAATAATTTAACTTCATCTTAATTTTAGTTTTGTTCATTAATGAGAATATTTGTTCTACAACTTTAACTGAGAACGATTTATCTCAAGACTTTCACTACTTTCATAATATTCAGTCACTGCCCTTCTAGGTGAATTATCCGTAATGAATATTACAGAAGTGTTCACATTCTCTGAAAGAACTGCTGCAAGATATCCTATCAGTCCTTATCTAACCACTTTAATTTCTTTATTTTGGCCCTTCACCAACTTAATCCATTATAGTAAATCGTTTTTAATTCAGCTGAATGAACACACCTTGAGAATAATTATGAAATTGCAGTCACTGACGATTAGAGAAAAATTCTTAAGTCAGATAGTGACCTTTAAACAACTTGTTAGCAAATTAAGAGTTTTAATTTCCTGAAAGCTTCATCTGGTTCATATCCTTTTTCAAAACAGTTAAAATTATTTTCCAGTAGCTAAAGATGGGACCAATTTTTAATCTCCCTATAAAAGAGACAGAAAAAGCACAATGGCTAGCATTTTCTCCCTCCTTGAAAATTTACTATTGTTTTCTCAGAATTTCAACCTTTCTTGCAATTTTTAAACTATTAATTCTACCCTAACTAGCACCATTGGCTTCTAAACAGCCTTAAACCGTTTATACCATTTGCCCATTTCTAAAACACTGTCCTTAAAGCCAGAAGCTTGTCCAGCAGTATAACCTCAGGCAGTGTTTGACTGAAGAATGGGATTTACAGTAAAGCTAACTCCACTCCAATACTTCTCTTTCCTTCCAGCACCTGATCCAGATATCATTTGCAACTCATTCTCACAGAAAAAATCATGGGAGACATATTATGGTGGTTCAAAATCCATCACTTATCTCCTTATACCAGGTTACGTGAGTCAGCCTGCTACCTTTGAATCATTAGGTGCTTGTTAACACAGGACAATGAAGGAAGTGTCTATGTCGCACCTGACAGGTCTTAAAAGAGTCCTTTTGTACATTAATTAGTTAATTAGAACTACAGAAATAACTTACAGGAAATAATAAAGCAGCTCATAAAAGTATCTGTGAACAAGTGGCAAAACTAATAGGATTCAAAATAAGTATTATCATTGACTAACTAGTCTTTCTTGTGTTATTGATCAATGAGCAAAGTATCCATACAATGATGTAAACTAAGACAAAGTAATTAACTATAATCACGAATTCAGATATGCAGAGAACAAGAAGATGATAGTTTTTGCACCTATATCTACATGAAGCATTACAGCAGAAGCACTAACAAGAGACGAATGATCATAGGGAGAAAATAAGGCATATTGCTAGAACTATAGAGGATGAACAAGTCACTCACCTGAACATAAAGCTCCCGGAGTTCAAACTGAAATTTCTTGGGATCTGTGGTTATCGTCACTGGACCAATTTCTGGGATGGAAAAAAAAAAAAAAAAAAAAAGGAAAACATGTAGTATGAGGAAGACACAAAGCAATCAGGAGAATTTCATCTGAAGAGATCATGATTTTTCAGATTGATAAAATCTGAAAAGAAAAAAAAACAGCAGTATTAAAAACAGAAAGGAGGACTCAATAGAATATTCAGCACTGAGATCTATAGTTTCAAACATAGTGACTCCAACGTCATTCCAGCATTACCAGCTTCTGAGTGTCATAAGCATTTATAGGGACATAGCATGTTCTGTGTTGTTTCTTTCACACACATTTACTTATATCCATCACTACACTGCTCTCATTAATTAGAAGGGAACAAAAAATCCCAAAAAGTGGCTGCACCAGAAAATAATGAAATTTACCCACACAACTGTTTCTGGAAAATGTGAAGAAGTACCAAATGTGATACTAGCTGCTTTACCTGAGGCTGCTATTTCTTGACATTTTATCTCAATCTAACTTGGCACTCGGGCACTTCATTCTTTACCCGTCCTTGGCACACACTGCAACTGCTGCTACTGGCACAAGGACAGGGCATTCATTGACCTGGATTGAAGTGCTGAGCCAAGCATACACAAATAAGCAACACTCATCACTAAATCTACTACAATCACACATGGGTTTGCTTGGGGGTTGTAACTGTGAATGCCCTTGATAAAGGTAGGCTTTTAATTTGCTTAAAAGTCACCAAAAAGATGACAAAAAAGCTCTCCTAGAGTATGAAAGTATCCTGATGGTTTCTTATAGGAATTTTGATTTGATTTTGATTCTTGTGAATGTTATTTACTGATCAAGTAGAAATGCCTCACTGTCACCGGACGAGTCATTGTAAGGACTTCCCCACAGTGTTCACTCTGCCATTCCCCTTCTCAGCCTGGTAACATCCTTTGGGTGTTCCTTACAGCATATGCCTGTAACAAAGCTATCTCCAAAGTGTTCTGCTTAAAATCTATCCTGCCAGCCATTGTTCTAAGGCATAGAATAGAATGAGTTTTATACCTATAGTAAAACCACAAGCTCTATTACTCCGTCAATATAAGGATTACATTTTTCAATTCTAGGGCAGCAAATCCTTTGGAAAGGCTTTTTTTCCCCATAATATATAGATATGAAAAGTAACACTACTTCAGCCAAGCTAAAACAGCCCATCCAGCACAGATGGGTGAGCTGTGCCTTTCTCCCCAGGCAGCGGGGTGCAGATGCCAAGTGCAGACCCTGCCTGCAGGCCATGGGATCACATCCAGGCGCTGGCTGCCCTCTGCTGTGAGCTCAGCGACCAGCACAACCTGGGAACGGCATTCAGCCACAGCTCAGGATGGGGTCTCAGAAGCACAAGGCTGCAAATGGAAGCCAGAACAAGTGGTGTCATGGAGAGCTGCCAGAACAGAGAGCCCAGCAGTGGGACAGTTGCTCCAACCAGCTCTGCGGCTGTGGGCAAACAAGGTCCCAGGAAGGGCTCCACCTCTTCAGCGAAGCTGAGATTCTCTAAGGGAAGAACAGCAGCGACACCAAGTAAGTCCCAGCACAAGAGAGCTGCCAATCCTCTCAGAGCCAGCTCTCCTCTGATGGATGCCAGGAATACCCCTGACTTCAAGCAGACTGCTAGTGTTTTGGGCAAAACAACAGCTAGTCTGACACCACACAAACTGTTTACTATCTGTAGAAGGCATCTGGAAAGGCAGCACCACACACAACTCTGGGCTTCTGTCACCTCTCCTGGCCACATAGTCTGATCACACAGCTGGAGAAAGGCCATTCAGTACTCTTCACTCATACCCTATAGAGGGGTACCACTCAAGGTATGAACTGTAATGTTACTGGCTCTCACCATCCAAATGCCTGTAGCTTGAACCAAAAGCCCAGCATCAACTGTTTCTCATCCACAGTCATGCTGCCATTGAGCCTGTGTGACCTGCATGCTTGCCAGAAGGACTCAAACAGCCTTCAAGTTTTTTCCTCACTATGCTATACTCTGAGCATATACTATCAGAGACTGTCTCCTCAGCACAGGTGAAGACAGGCTTTAAAGCACTCAGAACAGGCAAGAGTGAGAAGACAGCTACAAGTGCTTTCATTTCACATGCCAGCCAGGAACCATCTCCAGAAAGGACTTTAAAAAAGAATGTAAGTGCTCTCATTTAGCACCATGAAAACTCTTAGAGAAGGTGAAACGAGCAACACAACAAAATTTCTGGCAACTGTAATGTTCAAATCAAGTTACAACTGTCAGTCCTGATGCAGCTCTGAAGAATGAATGAACAGATGCAACAAGACTGAGACATGACTGCTGAACTACACTGGTGTGAAAAAATGACAGACCACAGTAGAGAATTCTCCTAGCACCCAAAAGATGCTAGCCATACAGGACAAGCACGCAGGCAGAGTTGTTGAAGGAAGTTAAGGGGTTTAAAAGCAATCATCCCCCATGGTACAAATATATTCCCAAAAATACGGAAAAGCTTTGTGGAGTTAAATTAAGACATGAAAGAAGCATAGTATTTTATGTTAACTTGCTCATAACTGCTACAGATATAAAAAGATTCATGTATTGGCATTCAGAACAGTTTCTAGTGTTTGCGTGAAAGCACATTTTTGTTCTGTGCATCATCCTGATGTTTGAGAATCCAGACATGAGCCAACAGTGTGTGCTCACAGCCCAGAAGGCCAACTATATTGTGGGCTGCATTAAAAAAGGGGTGGCCAGCAGGAAGATGGAGGTGATTGTCCCCCTCTACTCAGCACACGTGATGCCCCATGTGGAGTCAAGCACAAGAAAGATACATACCTCTTGGAACAGGTCCAGAGGACAGCCACTAAGATGATGAGAGGGCTGGAGTACCTCTCCTGTGAAGAAAGGCTCAGGGAACTGGGCTTGTTTAGCTTGGAGAAGAGAAGGCTCCAAGGAGACCTCATTGGGGCCTTCCAGTACTTGAAGGGAGTATATAGAAAGAAGGGAGAATGACTGCTTACATGGGTTGATAGTAATAGAACAAGGGGGAGTGGTTTTAAACTGAGGCAGGGGAGGTTTAGGTTGGATATTAGGAGGAAGTAGATAGGAGGAAGTTTTTCACACAGACACTCTAGAGCAGGTTGCCCAAGGAGGTTGTGGATGCCCCATTCCTGGAGGCATTCCAGGCCAGGCTGGATGTGGCTCTGGGCAGCCTGGTCTGCTAGTTGGTGACCCTGCACATAGCAGGGGGTTGGAACTGGATGATCATTGAGGTCCTTTTCAACCCAGGCCATTCTATGAATAGCAAGCACCTTGGGAAAGCCAAAAACTACCTAGCGTGACACATATTCATAATTATTGCAAAGGCTGTTTGCAAATTTGGCATCTTATCTTGATCTTGATCATGTAAAACATCTGTACTAAATATCTGTTTTAAATGAATGTATTAGAACAATCTAGCAGAGGAATACAGGAGCCATTTACCTACTTCTATCAATTCAGAACACTGAATTTGTTTGTTCTGGAAGGAAAACAACAATGCTGATACCTAGTAGCAGAAGGAATTTCAGCAGATATGCCAAATTATGTGGAGTTCTTTCAGCCAAAAAAAGAAACCCTTCATCTAATTCAGAGCAAGAACGTCTCTCTCAAATATCCAGAATTAAAAATGACTAAACAAACACCGAAACCAAGCAAAGACAGAACCATACACCTTTGGATGCTTTCCAAAAAAGAAATAAACTTCAGATTTAGTAGCCTATGAATTGGAGTGGGGGAGCACAACAGCAAAAACACCCTGATCTTTAATACCCAATGCAATTACAATTGCCATTTACTAGTTCTTGTTTAGCTACACAATTTGATGTTACCCCCATTGTAACTCATTTGCTGGTGTAATGTCAGTCATACAGATTGTAAAATCTATCATCTTTGTACTGATGTGGAAGTGTAACCCTTTGTAGCCTAGAACTGTACAGGTCAAAGAGCAGTCTGAAGTACTGAACTCATTATAAATAGCTGACAACATAACTCAGATATTCAGCACTGCTGAATTCACTCTAGGTCTACTCTCCTAGTCTGTGCCTTACAGTCATTCGTGCAAAAGCTCCAGGGTAAGATTTGACAACAAACAGCATGCAGTGTGTAAAGAACAGAATATGAAAAAATGGGGATGGAGATCACACACAGGGTGTAGTTAAAATTCATTCATCTCATGGGTAAGGCAGAACTTCATTACTTCCCATCCTGTTTCTCCATCCAAGTGACACTTCTTAGTTACATCAATTTTGACAGTTTTTAGATCGGTAGGCTAATATACATTTCATATACGCACACGTATATCCACCTCCCACACACCATTATTTTTGTATCAGATCCATCTCCCAGTCTTGTTTCCTGTACAGAATCTCAAACATTTGTCCCACTAGTTTTAAAGATGACACAGGATTGGGAATGATCAGCTAGGACATCTGTGATGCCTAAACAGAACTAATGCTCAAAAAAACTGAAGTGCAATTATTCCTTAAAAGCTATTTTCCAGCAGTGGTGTGCATTAAGTTTTATCTGATGAAAGAATATGACTTGTTCCATCAAACTTCCCTTTCTGTATCCAATCAATTTTAATGCTCCGCCTATAATTCGGAAAGCCTTTATGAGTCACTGCTTGCCAAGGATAACAAAAGTAATGATAAAGTTACTCTTAATAAGCCCCCAGCCAGCTGGCTGTCCTAGGGGCACATAAGCAGAAATCCTTAATTTCTGAAGAGCAAATTCGGTGCTACATGTCAGGACTTTACACAGCTGCAGTCCACTCACAAGCTTCCACCAGAGGTCACAAAATCACAGATTTATAGGGGTTCCAATTATGACCCCTGTGGCTCCATTTCTTTTAGCTTTCAGACTCTAACCTGGGTGTAATCATATTCATGTTTGAAATGTCCAAGAATTGCAGTGAACAACTTTTGCCAGATTCTTTACCAGGCAAAAAAGAAGCCAAACCAACCCAGCAACCTCACATTAGATGAGCA